TGCTGGAAGGGATCAGGATTTGCAGGAAAGGCTTCCCCAGCAGAGTCCTCTATGCTGACTTCAAACAGAGGTGAGAGCTCTGCATCTCTCTGCCACTCAGACCCAGCTGAAGAGCCTGCTTATTATAATATATTTTAAACTTTTTATTTTAAATTGGTATTGATCATTAATATAGATATTTAACCATTAGTTTATGATGATGTGGCAGTACTCAGATCAGGATTGTTTTTTACTTAGAATTACTATTACAAACATTTCCTATATCCTGTCTTGAGAGGATGAACCATCCCAGGCATGAGATCAGTTCAATGGTACAATATGAAAAATTCTTGTGATGGTTTCAATGATTTTGGTTTCTTCATGCTTTATTTCCTTTTGCAGATATAGAGTACTTAATGCCAGTGCTATCCCAGAGGGACAGTTCATGGACAACAAGAAAGCTTCAGAGAAGCTCCTCGGGTCCATTGATGTAGATCACACCCAGTACAAATTTGGTCACACCAAGGTAAAAACAAGTCCTGCGTTAGAAGTTTGCCAAGAGCAGTAAGAGTGGGCTCAGTCAGGGGATCAGGTACAGCACAATAACATAACAGAGCTGCCAGACTAGGGGCCACTATCAGCAAGTGACCAGTCTCACAGTACTCAGTCAAGGCAAGTGAGGATGACCCAGGAATGGTAGTCAGACTCAACTGAGATTTCACACCATCAGTCAAGTTTGTTACAATAAGCATGGTCCAAGTTGAAGCCATAAAACCTTGGTTTTCAAAATTTGTCAGGGTCAGATATAGGTTGGCTAAAAAGGCAAGACCCTAGTCATTAATTCATGGACATATACAGAGCAGTGAGAATGGTCTAACATCAAGACAGGAATTAAGTTAATAGGTCATGGTAGTTAATAGTTAAGAGCTCACTGGTGTCCATGAACAGGTATAGGAGTGACTGAGGCTGTGGCTGAACTGGAAACCAGTACTCATGGCACACAGCTCAGACAAGGACTGAATGCTTAGGGCTGTGATTATGGGAAGTTCTAAGCCCTTGGACAGAGGATTTGGGAGAGGATGCAAGATAACACTGATCACAGCCATTAAAGTCTTTCAGCAATCTGAAATGACTCTGAGCTTCTGTTCTGTCCTACATCACAATGACATGGTGCAACATTTCCTTTCTCAAGGTGTTCTTCAAAGCTGGGTTGCTGGGACTCCTGGAGGAGATGAGAGATGACAAGTTGGCAGAAATCATCACTCGCACACAAGCCAGGTGCAGGGGCTTCCTGATGAGAGTGGAGTACAGGAGAATGGTGGAGAGGAGGTAGATATTTCACATATATAGTTGATTTTCATGGAACTTTACTGGTGAAGTTTAAATTAATCACACCAAAAGCATCTAATAACTGCATGAAATTAATTTCAGGGAATCCATCTTCTGCATCCAGTACAACGTTCGT